TAAAAAACAAGTATCTACCTCCAATATGTCACAATTTGATCATTGCAAGTTGACCAATATTCGGGTTTTCCTCAACTCCGACCGCTTCCCATATAATGATCTCTTTTTGGATTTTAAAAACCAAAAATTTGCTCTCTTGTATGAAATGTACTCAAAATTCCGCTCCTCCTATTATGAGAGTGAAAATGAACCTCTGTTTTCCCCAAAAGATTTCCTTTCTATTGCCCCTATCACACATATTGATTGCTCTAAACAGAAGGAAAGTATCCAATCTGGATCGGTGGTTATGCGAATTGAATTTGAGACAAGTGAAAATGTTCCTCCGGAAACATCTGCTTACTGTCTCATCCTACACGATCGCGTTTTCACCTACAACCCTTTAACCAAAATTGTTAAACAGCGATAGAGCTTAATCAATCATGATCAATCACAATATAAATATCTTTGTTCAGACTAAATCTCCTTCATTCTCATTATGACATCATCCTACAGACAAGCTCTCAGAGAGTATTATCAGAAATTGCAAAGTTTGAAAGAAGCACTCAATTCCTATTGTCAAAGACGCATTCTATATACAAAATTCTCCAGCTTACAAATATGAGTGTCGTTTTGGATGTTCAAGGATTTAAAATTGAAAATAATAAATTACTCGCAAAAGAATTTTGCGCCTATGATGGTGTTAGGTTATGTCATTATATTTTCAAAGCTCCTTTTCCTTGGGATCAGCTGCCACCACCGTTGAAGATTCAGGCGAAGTGGTTGACTGATAATTACCATGGTATCTCCTGGAATTCAGGGTTTACACCCCTACATAAGTTTGGAAACATTATTAAACATATTGCGGATGGGGCAGACAGAATTTATGTGAAAGGACGTGAAAAAGCAGCATACCTGAGAAACTTCACCAGCAAACCAATAATCGAGCTTGAAGAGCAGCCCCGCCTCACCCCTTCACCGGCGAAGTGTTTTTACCATACAATAGATATTTGCATGTGTGCGATGTCTAACGTTTTTTATTTGTATGAAAATTTCATCATGTCATAATTTTTGTCAATAAACATATGTTTCTTCATTTAATGTATTTTTTACCCCTTCCTCCCACATAACACTACACAATATTCCTATCTTACAATCTTTATTATTTTATAAATACATCAAAGCGTTGCTTCTTCCCCTCTATTTTTACATTACATTACATACTCGAAATTTTACTAAACCTACTTCTTACTACTTTTATACATATCACAGACATACCTCCACTTTAATAATTTACACTTTGAACCTTTCTGTAAACACTGTTTGCCTATAATCTACTGTCAAGTATTTTTTTAACACTTCTTCGACTAGTTTCACTCGCCTTTGAAACCTACATCTATCTGCCATCTCCCCGTTACTTCTTCGAGCTTCTCTATATGCATATTGCCATGCATACATGATATGTACTTTGTTTTTTGTTTCGTTGAAGGATACGGTCTTTGGAATAATACTTATATGTTCACCTTCATTGCACATGTTACTTTTGCTGGTGCACTTTTTAGTCACCCCACTACTTTTTCCTTCTACCAACATTGTCTCCACTCTCTTAAACCTTGCTTCCGTTTGAGAAAAATACCTCCACCCTCTGAAACCCTGGATTCCTGACTCCATATCGGCTAACCGGTGTGGTGTCCATGGGTGTTCGGGACCCAGATGGAGGATGCTGCGGTGTGGTGTTCATAGGTGTTCTGGACTCAGATGGTTGATGCGGCGGTGTGGTGCCCATATGCGTTCTGGGCCATGGGTCGTCCCAATTTTCTTCTTCAGGATGTATTCTGTTGAATGGGCGTATAACCGCCACCGGCTTCCCCTCCCACACCGTCGGCAACTTAAATGTTTGTCTTGCACTCATTGTTTGATTCGTGCTGTCTGCTAACGACTGCCTCCTCTCCGAGCGCTGCACTAATTTAAACACATATTTCCAAGGTCATACCGTCTACCACTCACGACTTCAAGGTCACATTTCAAGGTCATATTTCAAGGCCATGTTTCAAGGTTACATTTCAAGGTCACATTTCGAGGTTAAATATACGTTCAAGGTTGGCTCCCAAGGTCGACTCTCAAGGGCGTTCTAGAACAGACAAACCCTACCTACTAACATGTGATGCCTAAGTACATCTCTCTGGATGTATTCTGGCGTCACTTTTGTGTGAGGTTATCCTGTGATCTCGATGTTTGGCCTATGTAAACTAAATTACAGATGTTACAATTAATGCGATAGACAGTGTTTCTTGAATCGAGCAACTAATCCCTATCCTTCATTTTGGAAAACACACTGTTGACCGTGAGAACTGATTTACAAGCAAAACGACAATTTGAGGAATTATACAGCCTGATCAATTTTGGAGTTAATTCTTTGATGTATGGCAAGACATCATAATTAACTCTGAAAATAGAAGCATCCACCGTTGTGCTGTTATTCTCATTAGTTGATGAATTAATGGGCGTCGGGTTGGACAGGACAGTGTTGTCATTGTCAATATTGTTATTCGCAATTGGCAAACTATTATAGGCGGAGAGCTGAACAGGATTCTCTTAACCAAATACTTCGGATAACTATTATTGATGAATAAGACTGAAAGCTTCCTTAAATTAGAAATAACTTTGCCGGTTTTTCCCCCAAAATTGCTTTTCGATAATTTTTAATGTGTTCGGGTGTATTGATATATAGTGTTAACACCTAACGATGGTTTCCGGCGTTATCAATAAACCCAATGTGTCCGTCCTTTTGGTTTTATATTTGTAACAAGTGCTCTCGTCCACGCGTTCGTTTTGAAACACCATTTGGCTGCAATATCAGCCACGAGTAAGTTGTCTGATAATATAAATGCTTCCCTTATTGGTTGCTAGCATCAGTGTTTTCAGCTCCTGAAGATGGCTCCATAGAGAATGCCAAAAGCTCGAGATTACCGTTAAAAGAGTTCACATAAAGACTAAAATTTTTTTGCCAATTTCCCAATTAACAATTAATTGTATTTTATGCCCAACTGGTCGTTGGTAATGGCAATGACTACTGCTCGTATATATATATATATATATATATATATATATATATATGCCCGGTGGGCATGGAATAATGAGTAAGATGAACCCTTTGACAGATGGCCGAAGGTTGTCAGTGTCTGTGTAGAATGATGGAACGAATTCTTTTGTTGGCATGTGCTACGTTGCCAAATCACTTCAGATGATGTGATTTTCAAAATGTGTTATGTAAAGGCGCAATTCCACTGAGGCAACAGTGAACGACATGCGGCATGCTACATGTTTCCTAGTGTCGCCTCTTGTTGACGTTCGACAATGTTGTCCAAAAGTCTATTAATGCCGCATGCGGATTTTGTTTCCCTATGTGGCATGTGCTTTGTCGTACATGAGTGTAGCATGCGTCTTAATCAATTCAATAGAGGCAACTTCAGTTTGCGGCATCATGTCTTTACAAACGGTTGCGGCGGCTGCATATCTGGTAATAGCTTTGAATAGAAAAAAGAAAAGAAGGAAGCCAAGGTGGTGGAGGAGACAATTATATGTTGGTGGTCAAGAAGCACAGAATGACTTTCTTAATAAATTGATTGCTGACGATCAAGCTTTATTTCGAAATTTTACTCGAATGAGTCAAGAAGATTTTGAATACCTATTAGAGAAGATCTCACCGATTATAAGAAAATCTGATACCAACTTTCGTGAAGCGATACCAACTCGTATTAGGTTATTAGTAACATTAAGATATTTGGCTACCGGCGACAGCTATGCATCACTTATGTATCTGTTCCGGATATCTGTACCAAGCATTTCACGAATTATTCCAGAGGTGTGCAAAGCTCTAATCGATGTCTTACATGATTTTGTTAGGGTAAGTAAAATTACAATGACTTATTTTTAAATAGTTTATTGTTCGTAAAAATAGCGTTTATATAATATATTATATATATATATGAAATAGATAATAGGATTTTATTTTTTTCAGATTCCCGACACTGAAGATGGATGGAAAAAGATTTTGAAGTACTCTGGAATTACCCACACTGTATTGGAGCGTGTGATGGGAAACACATCGTCTTGCAAAACCCAAAAAACAGTGGCAGCTTATTTTATAATTACAAAGGAACTTTTAGCATTGTTTTGATGGCAGTTACAGATGCCGACTATAATTTTATATACGCCAATATTGGTTGTCAAGGCAGGATATCTGACGGAGGTGTATTTCGAGAAACAATATTTTATAAAAAGTTGGCAAATAATAATCTAGCATTACCGGCTCCGGAGTCACTTCCTGGGAGCAATAGATTATCACCTTATGTTATATTGACGGATGATGCGTTCCCTTTACAGGAACACATCTTGAAACCTTTCAGCGGCTACCATGACAAAGGCTCCTGTGAGAGGGTCTATAACTATAGACATTCACGCGCTCGCAGAGTATTGGAAAATTCTTTTGGATTGCTAGCATCAGTGTTTCGTGTCTTTAGGAAACCACTTATGGTGCATGTGGACAATGCTGAAATCATTACAACATGCATTTATCTTCATAACTTTTTGAGAAGAAGTAAAACGTCGAGACCACTATACTCTCCTCAGGGATCATTTGATCATGAAACACGAGATGGAAACATTATCCCAGGATCATGGAGGGTTACTACCCAAGGCGACAATGGCGTGCTGAATTTACAACATAGAGCTCGAAGGTCAACTTTTGAAGCTATAGAAGTTAGAAAAGAATTTATGAGATTTTTTACATCAGATGAAGGGCGTGTGCCTTGGCAGGATTTTTATGCTTAAGCTTTATACCTATTAGTACAAACATAAATACCTATTGTAATTGAATATATGTTTTCTTGAAAATATTTACGATTGTAGTCTCACTAGAAACCAAATCGGGATTTTTATAGAAAACTATACATGTGCAAATGTTGAAAATTTAATGTAAAAAATTATGTAGCTATAGTTTTGCTATAAAAAGATCGATTTGGTGCTGGTGCGACCCTATATTTTAGTGCAAAAAAAACTCACCGCAGATTCCTCTCCGTTGTCGCTGGCCGTTGATGTTGTTCGTCTATGTTTATCGACGTCTAGTAAAAAACTCAAAAGCTCAAACGCAAACCATTTGCCTTTCGTGAGAGGAGATGAGCCACTTTTCTTTGACTGTAGCTTTTTTCTTTCACGATGGAACGCGGAACGTAGATTTTTGATTTTATTTTTCACTTCAATCACGGTACATTCGTATTTCGTCGCTATTTGTTTTAACTTATCATTTTTAAGTCTGTTGTCTTTATAAGCAGCAATTTTATTATTCCATAATTCTGGAGAATTGTGATAATCTTCAATAAACAAAGTTGTTTTCTCTATAGTCCACTCCATGTCGCAAACTACATGTAGCACCGAACCGATGGCTATGGGATAAAAGCCGACATCGTTCGACACGCTGAATCTTGTAGAAAGCTGACGCATGCGTCTGGAAAACAGTGGTCAACATGTGGCATGCGGCATTGTCGCATGCCACATGTTGCTTCATGTTGTTCCAATTGAAAGACTGAGTGTAGCATGCGTCATTGTCGCATGCTACATGTTGCCTAAATGTTGCCTCAGTGGAAATGCGCCTTTTGAAATTGTCAAACCGACCAGAGGCAGTTGAATTGACTATACTTTATTAATGGGCAATTAAATTAACAGTTATTATTTAATCGTGAGTAAAACATTACTAAAATTTGAATGGAATGAAGTTTATTGGTGGAATAGACCAAGAAACAGATTCCATTTATGGTTGTGAAGAGTCAAAATTTGGGGAGATGTGTAAGTGCTCAAATTTTTCGCAGTTTAGCAAATATGAGTAAATGATGTTAAGCAACTGAGTGTATATCTTAATGAGGGTGTATACCATATTCTAATTAATTCAACTTAGCGCACACATTGTATTTAATAACTGAGTGAGATCTGGTATGGAAAAATACAACCCTCGGAGTTTTCAAGACTTTTTATTCTCTTTCACCATTGCGTTATACTGGGAAGGTTTTTAGTAAATACCTTACATTTTGGTGACAGCATGAGATTGGCATTGAGATTGCCATGTGGAGTGATTATTCGTGTGATTATAGCGTGACATATTTTTATCTATATATTAGCAGACTATATTTATTTTAATCTACTCAGGCGCCATATTGAAAGTCTTGAATGTTATATTTATGTTAAAATATAGTAACCATGCGTCAATTCCATAACCCCGAAGTTTAGGTCCCTAACATTACCCGTTCAAAAAATAAGTAGGGGGAACCCTTCTGAAAAGCACTGAATGAAATTAATAATTGATTTTTCATAGACAGTTGCAATGCGTAACTTTTGTGAAATGATACTATGATAACTATGAGTTATTGTCGAACACTTAGTATACATTACTTGCTCAAATATACTAAGTGACATATAAATCCGAACACACAGTTTAAACGGTTTTATTTTAATAAAATTTTGTATAAGTACTTAATGAAGCATAATAAGTAAATGATAAAACTTTCAAAATGATTGCACTGCTTTAAAGCTCCTCTCGAAGTGCTTCTAGAGGCTGAGGAGGACGTTGCAAATTGAGCAATCTCCTACCCATCATATCCCACACGTGCTCAATTGGGGATAAGTTCTTGGTGGCCATGGTAACAATGTGACATCATTATGCTGAAAGAAGTCTATTGTGACTCTTGCAACATGTGGTCGGGCATTATCTTGTTGGAAAGTTGGATCTGCCAGGGTGTCAAGATAGGGTAAAAGATGGGGTTCTAGAACTTCGTGGATATAACGCTGCGCGTTCATGTTACGTCTGATGAAGATTAAAGGTGACCTGGAACCATAAGCTATAGCACCCCAAACCATAACTCCAACAGTGTGATGAACATGTCTTTCAACAAAAAACTGTGGATTCCTCCTTTCACCACGTCGCCTTCTAACCCTGGCACGACCATCGTGCATGCCTAAACAAAATCGAGTCTCGTCACTAAAGACAATACTGTTCCATTCCTGATACCAGAGTGACCGTTGTCTGTACCGCACAGTTTTTGAGATGTCGTTTGTAGAGATTGGTTATTAGCTACGGGGCGGCGGCAGCGAGATCACGTTATACTGGAAGCTTCCTTCCTTCTCGTAGGGCAGCGCTAATGGACACAAGGTAGCTTCAGTTGGTGAACTCCAAATTCTTATTCTGTATCGGTCCATATATCACCTACACTGATAAGACAGGTGTTACGAGTCGGAGTGACAATTTATGATTGAATATCTTCGGAAGGTTACTAGGAATGAGAATATCATCAATTCGCTTCGGTTAAAAAACTGAACTAGCCTAAAAAATATTGAAAATTTTGCCTTTTCTGAAATCCTTTTCTACGTTTCAATCTAGTTATTTCAGTCAATATTATACCTACCTAAACAATGCTCAAAAAATCAGGATGTATATGATTCTTAAAAAAATAAAAACTCTTTTATGCTTTACTAGTACGCGAGTATTTCGCTTATCACGAATGAGCAATATCCGAAATGCTAAGAATATTACTTTTTGGTTGTTGTATCATACCTATACATCACGAACAATCATAACTTATTTTCGTTAATCTGTCAGTAAGCCAATATGAGTCTTCTGGTTCTGGTGAAGAGTTATTTTGTTCAAATTTCCCAACTCTCCTGTGTGTATATTTCTTATTCATGACCATTTAACGCCGCATTAAAGAGGACTTAATTCTTGAAATGAGGGAATAGAATAACAGAGAAAGTGGGCGTGGTTCTCTTACCCTTCGGAAAACTGTATCCTTGAATGCTAATGAATAGTCTCTCTCTGAATTATTCCCTGGAGAAAAAGAGCGAGCGAATCGCCATCGTTCGTCAATCCCATCTGTATAGACAGAGTCAACTCTCACGGATATGAAGAAACTAGGAAACTATTGTTTTGCCGAAATTAAATGCATTCACACCTTAAAGCTGTTAGATTTTGATGTTATTCCCCCCTGAAGAGAACCACGCCCACTTTCTCTCAGTAATTCGATTCTTTCATTTTGAAGAATAATGGTGCAGGGGTATCAAGTGAAAAATTAATACTTCGGTTGGATTTTAAGGCTTTTGGTCATGTTGAATATAAAGCACACTGCGGATGGGCAAACCACCACTTCAATGGTTGATCCAAAAAGACACTTCCCTACAACATTGAAGCACTACAAGTGCGTTCGTGGGAGCACAGACAAGGATGAAGGGATTATCTGGCGATTCGGCGAAATATCATTTCTCGACCATGTGCCAAAGCGATGTATGCTTTGACGTATGACTATCAACGAAACTGTGTCCTCAAGCCAAAATTCCTGACCAATGGTTGAGTATAGCCCTCTTCAATATTTCGAATTTTATGTGAAAAATTGCAAACGTAACTATTAGATGGTTATTAATTTTTCCTGAGGTGGAGTCTTTGCAATTCTATTTCGAGCGTTTTTTTTTTTCAAGACGCGGGTGGGGTTTCTTCTTTAATAGACTTTGTTGTACATACACTCAGATCGTTATTGATATAGGGTAGTCTGAAGATAACGCAGAGTGAACAGTAACAAACTGCAAGTGCCCACGTTTTTCAAACCACTTATCATAGTTTTATCCCCTTCAGGATCACGAATAAGAGGAACTTCAACGTAAAGTCCGGTCCATATTTCTTATACAGGCCAATGAGAGAAACATCGCCCGTTGAAAAACTACGTACTTTGCTGGCGTTTATGCAGTATTTTCTAAAGGTCAAATTAAATAACAGCATCTGCAGTTTCACTTATTGGCCAGTATACGACAGATAGAATCCTTTTCTCCTTAAAAAACGCTGCATATTCATAGTGCTTAGGGCAGATGAAAGATTTATGTGGCGTCTATTCTTGCAAATGCATAATAAATTAAGCCGTATTGCACTATTGTCTTCAAAGTTTCTTTAACCTGGAATATCTCCTACTCTTGTGCAAGGGCGTCGATAAGGGGGGGTACTGGGGGTAATTACTCCCCAAGCTTTAAAAAGATTAAAAAAATTTGTTCAGACCCACAAGTATAAAACTTTAATTTCAAATATCAATACCCATAAAATGTTAACTGCCGACCTTTCCTTATTTATTTATTTATTTTTCCTGACTCCGACAACAGCGCGCTTTCGTCAAAACGGATCACACATGAAACAAACGCAGCGCGATGTGGAGCGTTTTCGTCGATTTGTTGGAATTCGTGGATCACCCGTACCTACCCGTACTATTTTTGTCTTCTCTTTCATTTATCTCAGCTCTCAGCAGATGTTATAACAGCGCATTAAAGTGTTTTATAAAGTGGATGTTTAGTGATTTTATAGCCTAGATTTTTGCATTTGCATACTTAGTTATAGCGTTATAAAGACTATACTTAAAGCGAGAGAACTTTTGTTTTAATAGAATTACTTCGATTACGACGGTTCATCCAGATAAGGCACAAATTAACTTTGTTATTTCGATTTCTTGGTTAAATATTGGTTTTAATTTACATTTATACTTATACAAGTAGTATAAGAAAAAAAGGCGTTCTTTAAAATTAGCTTGTTAACATTGTTAGTATTTTTAAATTTGAAAATATCGGAAGTAAAAGTATAAGTAAAACTGTTTAGAAAATATCTGTATCCATAATATGTAAATATTCCCATACTGTTGGGATATCTTTATTTTTTTTCAATTTCATACAAAACTGTTTTTTGCGGAGTAAAACTATGGTAAAATTTAAACAAAATGTCTCGCGAAATATATAGCTTGCATTAGGAGGTTTGTTTAAATAAAAGTAACACAAAGGAAAAGTTTGACATTTAGGTATTTCATTTAAAAATCTCTGTTACATGACAAAACCATTTTTTTTCATTTGTGGTTGTTTGAAAAATTAACGGAATATTTTAGAGGGTGATTATTAGCGGTACCTAATACAGAAAAGAAAGTTTTGTATAAACAAGCATCGTTTTTAAGATAGGTACATGGTGGATTTACTTCGACACCGTGTATTTTAGAAACTAAGTGATTTTGATTTAAAAAAACATTTTTATCAACTTGCAAACCTCTAGTTGTTAGTGTTAGTGAATCAATACATTAAAAGGAAGAACTGCTATCTTACAGAAGAAGTATTTACTTGATTAGAAAAAATGTGTTATTAAAACTCAAATATTTTTCTTCATGGTTCAAAACAAATTTATTGGGATAAAGCAAGAAAAAATGAAATTAAGTATAATACCGTATCTTAAAACGCTATTTTTCAGAGCCATAATGTTTATAAGAACATTTTTCTTTTTTTTAACAAGGAATCACCCTCTTAGATATCGCTGTCTATTTCTTAAATAATAAATATTTGCTACCACATTTACAACACTTTTTTTGTTATTGCAGCCCAAAATATGAATAAACGGCGTAGTCAAACAACATTAGACTTTTTTGTAAAAAAAGCAAAAGTTTTGGAAACTAATGATTCAAGTGAGCAAGAAACACAGTCTAAATCTACAGCTTCTGAATTAAGTCTAAGTTAGCAAGGAAGTGCTGGCATCCAGTGATTCTGAAACTCTTATACGCAAAGAAACAACAGACTGAAAATATTGGAACTGTTGATATTGGGAGTTATATAAATAAGAGCAGTATATCG